AGCTGTACTAGTAGGGGGGAGGATTTAATAATATGGGTAACCGCTGAACCAATGTGTTGTATACTTGAAACTAATATAAGATTGTATATCAACTATACATCAGTTAATAAACAAATAAAAGGAACTGCTTGTAAAGTTCTACCATTAAGAATTAAGTAGCTTACTGTAGAGTTTTTGGAGTTTTACCTTTACTTGGTTAACAAAATTTCTTTCCATTCCTAGATTGCTAGCAGTTTTGATCATGAATGAATGCTGAATGATAGAATTGTTTTTCCTGTATCTACTACAAGGAATATTTGGTTATTCTGTTTATATTACATTTTTAGATGTCTTTTAATATTAAACCATTCCATCCTAATCCATCTGGTTCCCTTTTAATAGACGAATAATTCACACACATTTTACATAGAAGTGTTAGGAAGGAAAGGACTCGCTTGGTGTCGCAGGGAAGTTGGATACAGTGAGACGAGAGACCAAAGTCAAGAAAGCAAAGCAAGCTTTAATGCACTCTGCCTAGAGTAACAGCGTACAGCACGGGCCTGCCTAAGGTCTAAGACAGGCCCAGAAGCTCATTCTGAGGCTTTTATGTGGTTTTGGTAGGGCAGAGAGGTCCTTGATTGACAGCTGCCAGCTCTCTAGGCTTGTGCTGATTGGTGAGATGGGGACGGGCTGTGCTGTGCCTGTGCTTCTGATGTTTCTTATCTGGGGAGATGCTGGACATTTCCTGAGTCATTCTTGGATCCTGTGGCTTCATCTGATTAACTCCCTGAGTTATTTCTGGCTCTATCTGATCAACTCCCTGAGTCATCTTTGGGGGGCCCTTTCACCTTTTCATCCCACTCACTTCTGTCTTTCTGTCTAACAGAAGTAAAAGGTACTAAATCTTAAGGATACAGCTCAGTGAATTTCCACATATTTGTGTGTGTGTCCATGTAATTACCACCCAGATCAAGAACTTTTCCATCACCCCATAAAGTCCATTATACCCTTTGTGAGGGCTAAAAATTAACTTGCCTTTTCTGCTTCTGTATTAGTGCTTGCCTCAGTAGAAGTGGCAGACAGCCATATCCTGTTATTGCAAAACTGATTTATTGAAAGAATTGTTATTTCAAACTGGTGCATACTAGCCGACCCAGGAAGAAGCAACTGACCTAGAAACTAGTCTCAGGCAACTAAGCGAAACTAGGACAGTTAGCCAACAGGAAGTTCAGAGAATATAAAAATGTTGACCAAACTCTTGAGGTTGCTGTTAGCCGATCTAAGGCTGGCAGCCTCTGTGCAGGTGGCCTTATTGCTAATAAATAACTTCTTTTTCTCCTGTATTCTGGTTGTGGTCTGGTGTGTCTGCGCTCTCCCGGTACAAGCAGTTGGTCCTGTGAAATTCGGGACTAACACCCTTCCCAGTCAATATCTTCCCCAAAAGTTAACCACTATTCTATCACTATAGATAAGCTTGTTCTTGAAATCATACAGAATATATAATCATGTAAAATATATTCTAGTGTCAGGCTTCTTTCAAGTTTACATCTGTGAGATTTATCAACGTGGTTGCATCTATCAGCAGTTTGTTCTCCTTTATTAGTGTGTACTATCCCATTGTCTGGGAAGACAATTTATCCACTCTCCTGTTGATGGACACTTGGCTTGTTTTCAAGGTTTGGCTGCTATGAATAAAAGTTGTATGAATTTCTTGTATGAGTCTTTTGGTAGACAGATGCATGCATTTCTCTTGAAGTGAAATTGTTGTATCATAGAGTATATAAATGTCCAACTTTAGTCAATGCTGCCCAGAAATTTCCAAAATGATTTGTGCCAGGCTGTGTGATTCCACTGCTTTTTTCACCTATCCACCTAAGTCATTGTCTGTGCTTCCTGCTGGCCATCAGATAGGTATTTACACTTCTGTTTCTCACTTTTGGTTGGAGGAGGAAATACCATCTTATTAGCCTTCAAACTGCACAACCTCTTCTTACCTTTTTAAAGCCAAGAATGAAAGTGTGGTTTAACATTTAAAAAAACACAATTACTGTAATTCACTACAATTTAAAAAAATTAATGATCATTTCAATGATGCAGGAAAAGTCATTTGGCAAAATCCAGAATCGATGCCTGATTAAAAAAAAAGCAAGCCCAAACCAAAAAACCTCTCTGCAAACAACTTTATAGAAGGAATCTATGAAAACCTATAGCTAATCTCATACTTAATGGTGAAAAAGTTTGAATAGTTTTCCCCTAAGACCAGGAACAAGTATGTCTGTACTCACCATTTTTTTAAATTAAGGTATCATTAATATACAATCTTATGGAGGTTTCACATGAGCAACATTGTGGTTACTACATTCACCCACATTATCAAGTCCCCTCCACACCCCATTGCAGTCACTGTCTACCAGCATAGTAAGATGCTATAGTCAATACTTGTTTTCTCTGTGCTATACTGCCTTCCCCATGACCCCCCTATATCATGTGTGCTAATCATAATGCCCCTTAATCCCCTTCTCCCCACCTCCTTCCCTTTGGTAACCGCTAGTCCCTTCTCGGAGTCCATGAGTCTGCTGCTGTTTTGTTCCTTTGGTTTTGCTTTGTTGTTATGCTCTACAAATGAGGGAAATCATTTGGTACCTGTCTTTCCCCACCTGGCTTATTTCACTGAGCATAATACCCTCTAGCTCCATCCATGTTGTTACAAATTGTAGAATTTTTCTTCTTATGGATGAGTAATATTCCATTGTGTAGTGGGCAAAATTGTAACATTTCCAGAATATCGCACCTGGCTTTAGTACATCTGCGTATCAATAGGCATTCAGAGGTGGAAATAAGTATGGCTTTAGTACGTTTGCATCATTCCCAGGGGTGGAGAGAAGTTTATTTCCATATCAACGGGTAATTACCTGGGCAAGGAGGGCTTATCTGTGCCTGAGGTGAGGAGAGGGCTGGTTTTGCTTCTGTTGGAGCAGGAGAGACAGCCCAGTACTGCAGCTTGTGAGCAATAAATGGATTTTAAAATTTATTTTTCCCTTTGACTGATTTTGGTTTTTAGAGGTATTTTGCCCTGGGATTTCCTCTTCCCGGACTTACATGTATATGTACCATATTTTCTTTATCCATTCATCTACTGATGGACAACTAGGTTGCTTCCATATCTTGCTATTGGGCTAGGGGTGCATGTGTCTTATCGAATCTGTGTTCTTACCATTTCTATTCAGCATTGTACTGGATGTCCTATTCAGTGCATTAAGGAAAGAAATATAAATAAAAAGCATAAAGATTGGAAAGCAGAAAGTAAAACTGTCTTTATTCACAGACAACAGGGTTGCCAATGGAGATTCCAATGGAATCTATTAAAAAGCTACTAGAAGCAAAGTAATTAGCATATGTACATGGTCATCATTATGATACAAAGTAAATATAAAAGAATCAACCGCATTTCTGCACTAGCAATGAATGATCAGAAATAAAAAAATTTTAAAGTTTCATTTACAATAAACATTATGAGTAGTAAATTTGACAAAAGGTGTGAAAGATCTGTACACAGATAACAAGATATTGTTGAGAGAAATTAAAAGACCTAAATAAATGGAGATATCTTGCTCAATGGTTAGATGATTCAGTATTAAGATGCCAATTTTTCCAAAATTGGTCTATGTATTCAATACAATCACAATTAAAATCCTAGCATTTTCATAGAAATTAACAAGGTGACTTTCAAACTCATCAGGAAATGTAAACGATCAAGAATAGTCAAAGTAATTTTGATAAAGAACAAAATTGGGGGACTAATACGATTTCAAGACTTACCCTAAAGCTATAATAATCAAGAGTGGGGGTATAGGCATAAAGATAAATAGGTCAACAGAACAGAGAAAATCCAGAAACCGATCTACACATGTATGTACAAATTTTCAACAAAGTTGCAAAGGGAACTTAGTGGAGAAAGAACAGTCTTCAACAAATAGTGCTGGAATCATTGGATATTCTTATGCAAAAAAACCTTTTTTTCAATTTATACCTTATATCATATACAAAAATTAATTAAAAAACTGGACTTAGATGTAAAACCCTCTAGAAAAAATATACAGGACAATAGCTGTGACCTTGGGTTAGGTGAAAATTAAGTGTGAAAGCAAAAGCATCATCCATAAAGGAAAAATTTAATAAACTGTCCTTGATCAAAATGAAAGTTTTCTGTTATTCACTATTTTGTACATGTGAAACCATCATAAGATTGTATTATCATGATACATTAATTTAAAAAAAGTTTTCTGTTCTTCAAAAGAACAGACAAATCACAGACTGGGAGGAAGTGTTTGCAAACCATACATCTGATAAAGGGACTTGGATCCAAAATAACTCTCAAAGCTCAATAATAAATTTTTTTAAAGGTGGCAGGGGAGAGGAGGAACAACTGGAACAGAAACTTTACCAAAGATAGAGAGATCACAAATAAGCACAGTAAAAGATGTTCAGTATCATTGAAAAATCATTATGGAAATACAAATTAAAACCATACTACCCATTATAATGGTTAATGTTAAAAAGACAGACCAATACCAAGTATTGGCAAAGTTGTGCAGGAACTACAACCCTCATACACTGCTAGCAGGAATATAAAATGGGATGTTCATAGCAACCTTATTAGTAATTGCTAAAACCTAAAAATAATTCAAACTTCCATCAACAGGTGGATGGAAAAATCAACACTGGCACTATCCTGTAACAGACTACTACTCAGCAATAAAAAGGAGTGAACTACTAATATACCACCAAAGACGAATGTCCATGTTATTTTACTAATTCTATTAATTAGATTGAACAAAAGAAGCCAGATGAGAAAACAATGCCTATTGAATGGTTCTATTTATATAAAGCCCTAGGAAATGTTAACTGATCAACAATAACAGAAGCGATCAGTATCAATGATTGCTTGAGGATGGCAGTGGGGAGATGTGAGGAGGTTGTGCAGAGGGGCGGCAGGGAAGAATCATAAAGAGGAAAGAAGGTTAATTTTGTTATCTTTATTGTGAAGATGGTTTTACGAATGTACACGTCAAAACTTATCAAATACATTTGAAATGTGTAGTTTATTGTCTTGTCAGCTATACCTCAGGACAGCAGTAATCTTTTAAAGTATAAATCCATTTCCTTGCAGTCAGAAAGCATTTATCTTTCACCAATGCATATGGTAGAGGTACTTAAACACTAAAATGAACTCAACACATCATCTATGCAAGTAACTGGATAATGTTCAGAAGGCAAGTTAATTTGCTTTTGTTTGGTAACTTCATCTGGTTAAAATGTTCTGAAGGCTAACTGCACTAGTTCTCTTTTCTTAAAAGACTTTCTTTCCCCTGGAAAAAAAAGGTTGACATCACAACTGGAATGCTCATACATCTTTTACTCCTTTCAAGAACACCTTGGTATGGCAGAGGAAAGGACACTGGAGCCATTCTTTAAAACCCAAGAGGGAGTCTATGTAAAGATTGTCTTTTTAAATGACTTGCCAAAAATGAATGATTTTTGAGACAATGAAGTTTCAAATCTGTCATGCTTAACTAGCCAACAGTGTGCTTACCTACTGGAAAAACAAGATTTTCATCATTTTTACATCCCAAAACGAAGGCAGAGAAACAATGTATGTAATATGTATTTTTATGATATATGTGTGTGTATACACACACACAGTTAAATATATGACTCTTTGGGGGCTATTTTTTAAGTTTCTTGTCCCTGGTCACAACTGAATAAAATCCGTATTGTGGGAGTCATGTGTCTTGTACTGCTTATGCTTATGTGACAACAAACTGAAAATAGTTATCTCCATCCTGTTCTTCTGATAGACTTCAAATCTCTATTGGGACGCTAAAGAAAAGGTTATGAAACCTCACTGGGGGCAATGGGAGCTACCTAGCAAGATGCGGAGGACATTAGAAATGCAGAGGTAGAAAACTCACATTGTTTGTACCAGTTTCCCCAGCACCAGCATGTGTTAACAGCTCCCTTTCATTTGCACTTGGTAGGTTGCTAGCAAGGATCAATACTTTTCTGGTCTATTCCATCTCCTTTTGCATGAGATGTTACATCCTTTGCCAAGGTAAGTTTTCTATAGCAAGTATGGGAAGTCAATACAAGAAATCTGTATCCCTCTCTTTCATCCAATTCTACTTGAAGGTTATTTAGTGGGTCTTCAGCTCTGCTGCATGTCACATTACCATGCTCCATTCTTCACCCACTGCCACTGTTCAGCCCACAGTCCTCCCTTAATGCTTAGTAGTCAGGAACCTAGGGGCAAGACCACTTGTCTAAACTGAGATGTACACTCCTAACTTCTTTACAGAGTTTGGCACAGCCTCTCCTTGGAATTCTCCCTCGGCTCCTACTCTACACCCTCCACCCCACCCCCAGGAAGTTGATTTATGTTCACTTTGCTTCCATTGCATGTTATATGGATCAAATAATGGGTTTCTAATCAGTCTCCCCCTTGGATTTGGGAACTTCTTATTTAGTTCCAATTACTGAGTGTCCACCATGTTCCAAGAATTATGCAAGGTAAGTAAGATACATGTTTATCTCCAGAAGTAGATGAATGTTGAGTGTATACATGAATGCATGAGACTGGGAAATATATGTAAGAACTAGCCAAATCCCAAACTCCATACAAAATATTAACAATTTCAACTCAGCCCTTGATATTTCTCAATCCCAAAATGCTGCTGGCAACAGGAGACCCCTCTAGGATTTTTGTTAAGCACACTTTCTGTGAGGGTGGAAATTAGTATGTGAGATAGTAGAAGGGACACATTTGTTGATTTCTAAATAGCATGGGGTGAAAGGTCAAAGTTGGAGACAATCTAGAGGCAGCCTCCCAAACTCTTAAGATCACGGTTTGGGGAACCCACACCCTTACCTAGGAAGATGCCACTCTGTTCTTCCATGCTTTTATTGGTGACAGCAATGGACAAGAACAAAGTCAGCCATAGCAGACACCCTGACCTGGTGCCTGGGTGGCAAGCAGGCCCTGAAGGGCCATTGGCACATCCAGTCCCAGCCCAAGATCCAGTCTATCCAGGCCATGTCCCCGAATGGGCAGAAGGCCGCCTGTCCAGTTTGTACATGTGGATCAGTCTGTCTGAGTGTCTGACCCGCTGCCTGCAGGGTGCCCTCATCCTTGGCACATGGTAGGGGCCACTGGGAACACAGCGTGGCATCCCCCGGTGGACCACTGGGCCCCGGTGCTGACCATGGGAGACAGGGCCAGGGACTGGAGGTGGCAGGGGGCCAGGCACAAAATTCACTCCAGGGCCACATCCTAGAAAAGAACCAGTAATCATCAGAATGGGCTCCTGGCCAAGGTGAACCCAGCTCTGCCCTTAGGTAGTTCTGGTCCTCCAGGATGAGTTTCTCTGGGCTTCAGTTTTCCTACCAGCAAAATGGCAATACCACTTCCTCTACCTCCAAACCAGGATATTGTGACAATCAATGAGTTGATTAAGAGTCAACAGATGCTGTTGCAGACTCAGCAGTGACTGAACCCAATCCTGGGGCCACAAGGAGCTACCCAACTCCTCAGCCCACATGAGCACAGGAAGCTACTTGGACAGGTGCAGGGGGGGCTGCAGAGGCACCTACCTAAGTGGGGTGGCACTGAGAAGTCCTCCGTTGGATTATAATTGAAGAATTCATTGGGTGGGAAGGGCTGGCCTGGGAAAAAGGGGGCATCCTGGGGCAGGGGTGGGAACAGGGGAGGCGGTGAGGGCTGGGGAAAGGGATAGGAAAAGGGCATGGGAGGAGGCAGAGGGGAGGGTGGGGGTAAGGCCAGCTGCTCCCCGAAGTCTGGGGGCTGCCCATGGCTCCCCTGGAATGGATGATCCGACTCTGGCCAATCCTCAGTCCATGGGTCTAGAATGGGATGGTGATTTTAGTTCTGGGAAGCCAAGCTGCCCTGGACTCTCGCTGTCCACACTTTCCAATGACTCGCTCCTCTCAGAGAACAGGGCCACCAGGCAGGAGTATCCTCTGCCTCCAGTTTTCCTCATTCCCTAGCACTTCAGGCCAAGCCCAAGGTTTGTGCCTTCTGTCTTGCTTTTCTCAAAAGCCAGGGGATCTGCCCTTGTTCTGCCCCCTGCTCCCTCCAGAGCCTGCTCCTTGCATTCCCTGCTCCTGGATCTGGAGCTTTTTTCCTCTCCCAGTTCTTCCCTACAGACTGATACATGAGCTTGGCAAATCTCCCTTAAAAACCTAAAGACCCTGTCACTATCTCTTCCCATGAGTCTCCTGTCTTTCAAACTTCCACAAAGAGTATATTGCCTGGTTTCCACTCCCTCATCAACTGCTCACTGCCTCTTTTAATCCTACTTCACTCCAACATTTTTGCTACTAAACATAACCACTTACTGCAAATGTAACAACTTCCTTTCTTCCTGGCAGTCCAATGCCCCCTGTCATCCCAGAAAGTGCCTCCCTCCTCACCTCCTTTTGTTTCCCCCACCAACCCTTCTTTCCTTCCAACTCCAAAGTGTGGCCATTCAGCTCTCCTACATGGTTCACACTCAGGCCCTCAGCCTCCATCTCTCTGCTGGGACCACTGACTCCAAATCCACTCATTTCCACAGTTCCTCAAAGACATTTACCCTGACAGAACTCACCAAATCATCCTCCCACCCACCTCTTCCTTTTGATGTCTCTGTGTATATAGCTCCGAACTGGGTTCAGGAGACCTGAGCCACACCACCAGCTAGCCTTACAACTTTTGAGCATCCCTTGCTTTGCTAGATCAGTTCCCTCATATGAAAAGCAAAGACACTGGACTATTACACAATTAAAGTCCTGATTCACCTCCCTGATGCTCCAACTCCTGGCTACCAAATCCTCACAGTTCACCTCTACGACACTGCTGCCCCTCTGTGCCCCCACACCCTCTACTGCTGTTAGAAACAGCCTCCTAACACAACCTGTGCCTCCAATTCAACACTATCCACTGTGTACTGTGCACACAGCAGCTGGGCTAGATACAGGCCAAAAGGGATGAGCTCTCAAGTGAGGCAAGAACCTGGCCCTTTGAGGATATGATATGGGGAGAGCAGACATGGAAACAATCCACCAGGATGCTTGCTTTGCTCCCTTCGTGAGCAAGCGGGAACTGAGAGGCTGACAGCACCAATCACAAGGCTTCTTTGCTTCTGCCATACTGCACAGACTGCTCTTCCTATTTCTGTCTTCCCACCCTTGCACCTATACATAGCTAGGTACCTTCTTTCCCAGGACAGGCGTCTTCTGACGTAATTTCTCTAGGTGCCCAATGCTTCTATAAGCTCATTTGGGTCAGAGAGGTGACTACCTGGCTAGACCATAGAGAACTGGAACTTGGACTGGAATGATCTCAAACCACCCCAGGGATGAGGAAGGTGCACTCAGGGGCCACAACAGTTCTTCAAGGGGCCTCTACAATCCTTGAGTATCTGTCCTGTCCCCTTTCTGAGGGCCCCCTCTGCACCACTATCCTTCCCCCTCGTGTAGGGCTCACCAGGTGGACAGTCACGCTTGGGGAGCTCGACACCCCAAGCATCAGCCACATGGGTCAGAAGCAAGTGTGAGAGGTGGCGGTGGGCATGTTGGTCCCAGTGTACACCGTCCCAGTGCCGGTGCCGTACTGCATGCCGGAAATGAAAGTGGAGGTCCAGGACATCGAAACAGTGGTCCCCAGCCAGCGTAGCACTGTAGAAGTTCCCTTCAACCACATCTCGCCGCAGAGAGCCCGCCAGGGGCTGGAGCTGAGAGATAAAGTGCAGCATCTAAGAGCTGCAGAAGGAAGCAGGGTCGGGAGGGAGGGTCCTCTATCTACCCATCAGCTGCCTCCTCCCCCATCCTGAGTTGCCCAGGTCACTTGCCTCTGGCAGAAGGAAACCCCCAGTGACACGTTCCCCCAGGGGCATCGCCATGTTCCACACCAGCAGGCAGGAGTCTGGCAACACCTGGTCCATACGCACAAAAACCCGCTCCAGGTTCTCTCGGTAGCTCTCCATTGAGCAGCGGCCATACCTGTCAGGCACCACACAGGGTGGGCAAAAGCACAACGGTGGATGGCCTCTGTGCCATACCTCCACCCCCAACCAGTATTTCCCTCTCCCCCTGTCCCAACCTGGAGAGATCCCAGAGGCAGGAGTTGATGATCACCAGGTCCGGGGCAGGCCCATATGTCAGCTCCTCCAGGACGGCCTCGAGGTACTCGGAGTAAACTCGGGTGAGGAAGTAGAAGCGCACAAGGTGGTGGCCAGAACCCGAGCAGAATTGGCGGACTTCACGGTATTGTGTCCCATTGTGCAACTCACCCAGCTGACCCCCAGCCACCAGCTGGTCCTGTTCAAAGCTCAGCTCCCCCTGCCCACCCCCCGACCCAGCTGATCAGAACCATGCCAGGAAGGAGGACCCTGCCAGGCCAGGGTCTGTGCCCACCCACCCCTGGCATGGTCACCAATCTTCCCTCACCTTGGCTTTCAGCTGGGCAGCTGTGAGCAGTGAGTCTTTTTGGAGCAAGAGCACCAGGTCCTTGTACACAGCCCGCTGGACTGCAGGGAGAGAGAGATCCTGAGGCTAAGACAGGCCTCACCCCATCCCAGTTTCTCCCAAGTCTAGGGCTCCCATCTTCCCAAGCTGGGATTGCCCAACACCACTTCTGTGGAGTGTTGGCATTGAGGCGGAAGAAAAGAGGATGTTTAATAAAAGTCCTGACCCTACCTTTGTTCCTTAAGCTGTATACTACCCCCCACCTTAACACACAATGACCCAAGATCAGCTGGCAGAAGTAAGTAGGGTAAGTCACCCAGGAGACAGGTAACAATCCAGCACTCTCCCATGAGGGAAATTATGGAGGACTGTCAGGGAGAAAAATACTGAGCAAAAAAAAATACTTTTTTACTGATGGGGTAAAAAACTTGACAGGCTACATCTGTCAGGACACCTGTGGAAAGTGAATGGAGGAATAAGAGAAGACCTACTGGACTGGAATAGACTAGGGGTCAGAAAGGAGGTCTGAGATGTAGACGAACGATCCAGACAGAATGGGCTACAGGTGTGAGACCAGTTCTTGTGATCCTAGAGGGTCACTCACTTGAGTCCCCCAAGATGACCACGAACTTGTTGTGTAACAGCTGCTGGACTTCCGAGGCCTGGAAGTGGACCATGGCGCTTCGCAGCGGGAGGCGCGGCTCCTCCTTCCTCAGGCAGAAGACCATGCCTCCGACAAGGACGGGCTGCGGGGAGATGCCACTAAGCCGCGCGAGGGCGGGGACTCAGGGTAGGTCGGCAGCAAGGCCCGCCCCGGGGTAAATGAGACTTCCGCCACCGGCCTCGCTCGGGCTGCTCCAGGCAACAGCGATGAAGGGGAGGCAGCAGAGGAGGGCACAGAGTAGCGCTGGCTTCGGTCACACCTAGCACCAGAGCCAAAGGGCCGCCAGGCCTGCATATCTCCAAGGCAGAGGCGCTTCCCGCGCGGCGCCGCCCTGCGCCCCGCCACGTGCCACCGCCTCCCCGCGCATGCGCGCTCCCGCTCGCGCCATTTACCGAGTCCCGGGGCTCCGCGCTGTTCACCCGCAAGCAGAGCAGACCCGCACACCGTGCGCCACGCCCGAAGCGGGCTCGGGGCCTAGCCTCATGTTCCCGCACCGCGGGAGGCCAGTCGGTTCCGCACAGCCCGCGCACAGCAAAACCCGTGCGTCCGGGTTTGCCGTCGGTGCGCAGCCCAGTGCCCAGCCTTCCCCATGCGTGCGTCGCCGCGGCCCCGACGGCGCCACGGGCCTCGGTGCCCCGGGCGGCGACGCTCACAGTTCCCACTTCCGGTCACCCATGTCCCGCCCTGCGCGACCCCTCCCAATGCCCGAGGGGACAGGAAGGAGGTGGGGTGGCCGCCGTTCGGGGCAGGAGACAAAGCCTGGCCCACCCGGGCAGGCACGAGGCCCAGGTATGGGCGGGGGAGCGGCGGCGGCGGTCCCGAGCAGCTGCCCACAGTGGTGATGGCCGTGGCAGCGGCCTCGCCACGTGACGCGTATGGGCGGAAGCGGAAGTGCTGGCCTGGAGCCCGCGCTTGAGACGAGTACCCTGCGCGCTGCCTAGCTGTCGTCCCCTGTACCAAGCATGGACTGCTACACGGCAAACTGGAACCCGCTTGGAGACTCTGCCTTTTACCGGTGAGCCGCCCCGCCTTCCCGCCCACGGTCCGGCTTACCCTGTTCGCCCGCCGGCTGGAGTCTCCGGGCGGAGCTGGCGGTGCGCGGCCCCGTCACCACTGGGGTCCGCCCCTCGCCTGCTCTACTGCTCTTACCGCACAGCCGGCTTCGGCCAGGGAGCCGGGCCTTCCTCTGCTCCAGAGTAGGAAGTTGAGCCAAGCACTGTGGTCGCATAAATAGAGACAGAGCCCAGCGCTGAAGCCCAGGTCTGTCAGCCTCTGGAAGGATGCTTAGATCACGTTGAGGGAGGTCGCCCGTGGCTGACAGCCAAGTGTCTATAGCCTTCTGCCGGGAAATGCTACTAAGTCTGAGGGGGCGGGATCGCACGGCAGGCGGGGTAACAGTGCTGACCCAGGCTGGGAGAAGAAGGTGGGGAGTCTTCTGTGAATTCAGGGGTAGCGTGATTGAGGACTTTCATGGGAGTCCTAGAATCTTTAACCACTGATCTTAATAAAGTGTAAACTGATTACATCATTACCCTGGTTAGGATAATTCAGTAGCTTTTTCTGTAGGATAAAATACAAACTCCATTTCGTTATCTATACATCAGCCCCAGTTTGTGTCTCCAGCTCCATCTGCACCCTCCTACCCAAGTTGTGTGTTCAGTTGCCCAAAATTACAGGACCCCAACACACCATGATGTTGCATAGCTATCGAGTTTGCAGCAGCCAGCTGTTCTTTATGTGGGCACTGTCATTTCCCTCTAATTCAAGGATTCTTTCTGAAACCTTCCCTGATCACAGTGGAGTCAGCTGACTTTCCTTTGGTCCTCACAGCGCCCAGGGCTTCGATCTGTTTAGTGTTGCACAGTAGAGCAATATTTGTATAGGTTTCTTCTGCTCCACCAGGTTTTTTAAGGGCTGAGAGCATGCTTCTTGCATCTATTTCCAATGCATGTTTAGAATAGTGCCTGCTATTTAGTAGTTGCCCAGTAACGTTTTTAAAAACACTGTATTGATTACAACTAAAAGCCACAGTGACATCTCATTGGGGTCTAATTTCAATAGAAAACACTCATTTTTGTCAGTGAAACTATGTACTGTTCTTACATGTTAAAACTTTTCAATGTAATTTTTAGGTGCATGTAATGTCAACCCTCAACATTTCCAACATGGACAAATGCCTTGTGGCAATTTTTAGAGATCTGTTGCATATGTTGTTTATTTATAGTTTGTGTCTTTTATAGATATGTCTGCACAATATGAAAAAGTGGCAAAAATTTTATTAAAAAGCAGTCAAGTCAGTAGAAAATAACAGTAACTTCAACTGTTTTTGTGGAGAAGGGGTGTCAGTTGACAAAAGCAGCCATGTAATTTAGTGATGACACAACATACACTTAAAAAATATATATTTTTGATATCGTTAATGTACAATTACTTAAATAACATTATGGTTACTAGACTCCCCCTATTATCAAGTCCCCCCCACATACCCCATTACAGTCACTGTTCATCAGCGTAGTAAGATGCTATAGAATCATTACTTCTCTTCTCTGTATATACTGCCTTCCCCATGTCCCCAACCCCCTACATTATGTGTGCTAATCGTAATGCCCCATTTTCCCCGTTATCGCTCCCTTCCCACCCATCCTCCCCAGTCCCTTTCCCTTTGGTAACTGTTAGTCCACTCTTGGGTTCTGTGATTCTGCTGCTGTTTTGTTCCTTCAGTTTTTTCTTTGTTGTTATACTCCACAGATGAGTGAAATCATTTGATACTTGTCTTTCTCTGCCTGGCTTATTTCACTGAGCATAATACCCTCTAGGTCCATCGTGTTGTTGCAAATGGTAGGATTTGTTTTCTTCTTATGGCTGAATAATATTCCATTGTGTATATGTACCACATCTTCTTTATCCATTCATCTACTGATGGACACTTAGGTCAGCGTATACTTTTTTAAATATTAACTTGTATTACTTTTGAAAATACACATTGCCTATACAGGTTTGTTGAATCAGAGAGTACTAAAAACGATGACCTCATTACCACAGAGCTTCTGTTTATCACATGAAGTCTTTACTTTGTTGATACACACGGAAAGTCTGGAATGAATTTTAAGTATTGAGTGAATGCCACAGGCACGACCTTCATGGCTAGCATACCCTTACCTGTGTTGTGCTGCCAGAAAGGAGGAGAAGCCTAGGTTTTGCTGTGGAGGATATGTGATTTTTGCTAATGGATGTAGAATCTTACTATGAACTAGACACCATGCTAAGTACTTTTTGTATATTAACTTGTTTAAGTCTCAACCCCTGGAATCCTTAGCCCCCATCTTTTTGATGAGGAAACTGAGGCACAGAGAAGATAGTTGGCTAGGGTACATAGTTAGTAAGGGGGTAGAGTCAGGATTTGAGCCCAGTGTTCTAGAACGTATTCTGAAGCATAGATTTTTTTTTTTAAACAAGAAAATATAATAGTGTATTCTAGCTTCTTCATGAGAGTGGAAATGCTTTAAATACACGTACTTGATTTTGTTTATGTTTGTGCATAGCTTTATGCTAGACTTAATATATGTTTGAGTAAGGGAATGAATGACAAGTGGCAGACACTGCATTTCAAGTCCTCTCTGTAGGACAGGATTCTTTTGCATTGGAAGTAGTGTGCTGAACACTCACCTAATTTGAGAAGGCAAGGAGAGGAAATGGTGACTGGCTCTTATGGGGCTCCCATCATTTTAGCCATTTTTATCCACAAACCCAATTTGAACTAATCCCATTAATTAACTTTGTTTAACCTTTTGTCAGACTGAGTGTAGTATATGGACCAGTAAAAAGGCATCTGCCCTCATACAGCTTACAGACAGCTGAGAAGGCAGTTGATAACCACTAATGACTCAGCATGGGCTTAATCATAATCACTATAATGGAGAGGTTTAGGGTCCTAAGAGAGCAAATAACAGACTGGGAGGTAGAGGTAAAGAAGACTTTTCTGAAGGAAATAGTAATACCCCATTTGGGGGATGAGTAAACTTAGATGCAGGGTTGGAATGGGGAAGAGTGTATACAAAAGTCCTGAGGCAGGAAAGAGGGACACTCCCAGGGACCTAAATAAAGAGAGCCAGTGTAGCTGGAGTGCCAGAGGCAAGGAGTGAATGCAAGACAAGCAGAGGTGAGGTGCCTTTCTCTTAGCTGCCACAACCTGCTGGGCCTTGTAAGCCACCTTTATTTGAAGAACAATGGGAAGCCCTTAAATGAAGGTCTCTTAATGAAAGGATTGATGTGACTAGATATGCACACGTTTGTGTGGGAGAGTGGGGGACAAGCTGGAAGGGACAAGCAAGAATGGAGGCAAGGGAGACTGGTCTGGAGGCCCGTGAAATAGACCAGGGAGCAGCTGGTGGTGGTAAGCACTCCAGCAGGAGTGGTGGAGAAGGAAAGAAGGGGATGTTTGTGAGATTTTAAGAAGTTAAAGTGAAGGAGATTGCAGTGGGTTCCACTTAGTAGGGAGGAGGAAGAGCAAAGAATCCAGGATGATTTGGATTTTAAGATAACAAAAAGGGAAGAGTGAGTTTCTTGGGAAGAGGGTGAATTTGATTTTGAACACATTGTTTCTGATACTTTAGAAACATCCCTCAAGTAAAACAAAGTAGACTTGAAGATACATTATGCACCTCCTGAAGCTCTTTGAAAGAGGTTGAACATTTTAGTATGTTTTTTGATGTTTTTTTGTTTTGTATAGGTAAACATGAACATTTTTTAAATTGTGGTTAAAAACATAGAACATAAAATTTACCATCCTAACCATTCTAAAGTACTGTCCAGTAGTGTTAAATATTTTGTATTGTTGTGCAACCAATTTCTGGAACTTTTTCCTCTTATAAAACTGGAACTGTGTATCCATTAAATAACGACTCCCCATTCTTCCCCTTCCTCAATCCTGGCACCCACCATTCTATTTTTTGTTTCTATGAATTTGACTGTGTATAGCTCATATAAGTGAAATCATCCAAATAATGGATGATTCCACTTATCACACTTTCAAGGTTCATCCATGTGTCAAAATTTCATTCTTCTTAAAGGCTGAATAATAGTCCCATTTTGTGTACATACCACATTTTATCTATACATTCATCTGTCAGTGGACACTTGAGTTACTTCCATCTTGTGGCTATTGGGAATAATACCACTATGAACATGGGGGTACAAATATCCCTTCGAGACTCTATTTTCAATTCTTTTGGGTGTATACCCAGAAATGGAATTGCTGGATCATATGGTAATTCTGGGTTTTATTTTTTGAGGAGCCATCTTTCTGTTTTCCATGGTGGCTGCACCATTTTCCATTTCCAGCAACAGTGCATGTGAGTTCTTCAGTAGTATTTATTTTTGAGGCAGGCTGGAGTTAAGGAATTTCAGGAGTGATATGGACTGTCTTTCAGGCCTAGGGATTTGGGAACTAATAGATTATCCCCAAAGTTAGCCCTGATGTGCCTTTCCACCCCCACAGTGGTCTGATAGTCCAGCCCAGACAGTCTGGAGACATCTGTTTGCATACAAAGACTCCTCTCTCACTTCCTGGACTACTCTTTTCCAGCAGTTCAGCTTCACTGTCACAGGGATTTCTTCACTGTTTTCATGGAAGGGCTGGAACAGGGGCTGCCAGAGCTGCTAGTTAAGTGATTTCCTGCCAGCGTCCATTTACTGCAGCTGAGGGGATCTCCATTTCCAGGACCTGGCAGTAGATGAGAAAGGTGTAACTGGCCTTCCTCACAAAGTCCACACTGCTGGGCCCTTTTGAGAGGCCCCCCTTACTGCTGTCCTTACTTTGCTGAGCCACACTCAAGGTTCAGCTTGAGTCACCTCACCTTGAGAAGCCTTTACCTTGAAAGTTTGAGGAGGTAGTCCATGTTATGTTGCTCTTTACTCCCTGACCATGCTCCTGTCCCCCATTCAGGGGCTCTGCCTCCTTCCCACCCCAGTCTGTGTTGCTGCCAGCCTCCTGGAGCACATCCCTCACTAATTGTT